GTGTGTGTGTGTGTGTGTGTGTGTGTGTGTGTGTGTGTGTGTGTGTGTGTGAGTGAGTGGAGAGAGAGAAGGAGGGAGATAGAGAGAGAGAGCAGAGAGAGACAGAGACAGACAGAGAGACAGAGACAGAGACAGAGACAGAGAGAGAGACAGAGAGAGATAGAGAGAGACAGAGACAGAGAGAGAGAGAGAGACAGAGACAGAGACAGAGAGAGACAGAGACAGAGACAGAGACAGAGAGAGAGAGACAGAGAGAGAGAGAGGCAGAGACAGAGAGAGCACATGCAGGAAAGCGTGTGGGTTATTAACTGATACAATCAAAAGACAAACATTAAAGTAGGCAAACAGACAATCTCACAGACAATCTCACAGACAATCTCACAGACAATCTCACAGACAATCAAGCGATAAAAAAACAACCACAACAAAAAACAAAGCCAAAAACAAAATAGCCACAGCCAGCCGACAAGGAAAAACAAAACCCCCCAGTGTTATCGTCTCGATCCACGAATTATTACACTCCAGCTCACACTGACATAAAATGGTCGTCTTTAAGGACAAGCGGGCTAACCCAGGTTTCGGGGGTTTCCAGAAATCTTGACCTACACCAAAAGTGGGCATTGCCCTACCTGTAGGAGTCGTTTCGGTTTTTTGATGTGTATATTTGTTTGGTTATAGAGAAAACTCTCCTTGTGTTTTAAAGAAACTGAACAAGAGGCAAAAACTTTACCTTCGATTTTCTCAAAACAGCATTTTCGGGATAGCCGCCTTGTGCTTCAAAGCTAACAATTATTAGACCTCCGCTCACACTGACATAATTTTACTCACACTCACCCTCCCTCCTTCTGTCCCCAGCCAAGTTCGCGTGCATCAAGCCTCACTTCACCCTCAAATGGTGTACTGTGCCGTGTGTGTGTGTGTATGAGTGTGTGTGTGTGTGTGTGTGTGTGTGTGTGTGAGTGTGTGTAAAGAGAGAGAGAGAGAGAGAGAGAGAGAGAGAGGGAGAAAGAGAGAGAGAAAGAGAGAGAGAGAGAGAGAGAGAGAGAGAGAGAGAGAGAGAGAGAGAGAGAGAGAGAGACAGCTCACACTGACATAATTTTACTCCCCCTCCCTCCTTCTGTCCCCAGCCAAGTTCGCGTGCATCAAGGCTCACTTCACCCTGAAGCGAGACATCGGCTTCTACATCATCCAGGTGTACGTCCCCAGCATCCTGATCGTGGCTCTGTCCTGGGTGTCCTTCTGGCTGGATCTTGACGCCATCCCGGCGCGCGTGTCCCTGGGAGTGCTCACTGTACTCACGCTCAACACACACGGCTCTAACGTGCAGTCACAACTGCCCAAGGTGAAATAATGTGATGGTGATGATGATGATGATGATGATGTGGATGGTGATGGTGATGGTGATAATAATAATGATAATTCGTTGTTATAAGTTGTAATAATACTAATAATAATGATAACAATAATTATAATAAAGAAAATAATAATACTAGTAATAATAATAGTAATAATAATAATAATAAAAATAATTATAATGATAATAGTAATAATAATAACAATGATAATAATAATAAAAATAATAATAATAATAATAATAATAATAATAATAATAATAATAATAATAATAATAATAATATTTTGAAAATAATAGGAAAATAGGCCAAAGTTTACTTTTGTATATTATTATAATAGTTATGGTGATAAATAAATTTTTAATTTAATGACTCTTTGACGGAACCTATTGCATTTTACAAGTAATGATAACATCCTTGTAATCTCATACGGGTACAGCCAGACTCACAAGTTTGCTACTGTTGGCTGTCACGTGACAGGGCGCTATTTATGAGCAACAGTCATCGTGTGTTGCCCCATGAGTACACTTCTGTGACCACTCATCTAGAGGGAAGTGAACCTAGGTGATCAAGTAATGGTTCCTCCTCGTGTAACAAGCTCTATTCGTCCTTCTTGTCCGATAACCCGTCATGGCTCCTATTTTTAGCCTGTAGCGTCATTTACTTTTAGTTTAATGTATATTTGAGGGTACAGTGGCGGAACGGTTAGTGCGCTCGTCTCTGAAGCGGAAAGTCCGGGTTCGAGCCTCGGTTCGGACTCATTTTTTTTTTCGCCCCCTCCTGCCCACCCAGCAGTAATGGGTACCTGACTTCGAGTTGGGGAAGTAAAGGCGGCGTGGAAAGGAACTGGCCACCCTACCACAATATGCGAAGGCCCAGAAAGTTGTCTCACTAACAAGGCAATCCCCAATGTCCGGATCGGATGCGGGAACAACTTTTTACTTAATGTATGTTTAATTTATGGACGTATCTCTGATCAAAGAGGACATTTTAGTTTCGTGGTTCATGAGTAAAGGAACAAAAATAGATCGTTTTGTAGAGAACAGCCTCATCTTTGTGTTTGCTCCCTCCTCTCTCCTCCCTCCTCTCTCCTCCCTCCTCCTCCCTCCTCCCCCTCCTCCCTCCCTCACCCCCAAGGTATCCTACATCAAAGCCATCGACGTGTGGGTCGTGAACAGCCTCATCTTTGTGTTTGCCGCGCTCCTGGAGTTTGCTTACGTCAACGTCCTGGCCCGCAGGGGAGATAAAGAGCTGGTGGCGACCCAGGTCTTCCGGATACCAATGGAGAACAAAGACAGCCGGTTTGAGGTAATGACAGGGACAATGATAATGACAGGGACAATGACAGGGACAATGATAATGACAGGGACAATGACAGGGACAATGATAATGACTGGGACAATGACAGGGACAATGACAATGACAATGACAAGGACAAGGACAATGACAATGACAATGACAATGATAATGATAATGACAATGACAAATGTGTCGTTTGCAATAATTAGCAACACACCCAGACATCTCGTGACGTGGACACCACACACCATCATCTCATTGATTAGTGTGCTGCATCTCCTCCCGATGTTGTTTATACGTAAGAATTGTCTGTGACGTCAGTCGCTTCCCTCCAGCTGTGTACAAATCTCTATAGGCGTAGCTCGATACACCCCCCCCCCCCATGATAAACAGACAATTATTGGCTGCTGCTCTCGCCAACCCCCTAGCCCCGTGTTGGGGCACGTGATGTCATATCAGTGGGTGGTTGGTGGGTGCTCTGGTGTGGTTTTCTCCTTCTTTCCTATCAGACGTCTATCGTCCTCATCTTCCCTCCTACGTTTCTTTGTATGATATTCTCTAGTAAAACCTCGAATTTTTGTATGGTCTATTTGCGTTGCAAATACCGTAAAACTCTTGCTAAAACTAAAGAACCAAACCATATTATTATTATCATTATTATTATCAGGAACTACGTTATCTCAGTTGCGATCAAGTTGGAATACGGAACTGATGACCTTGATTCGAAGCCCAGAAGCAGATCGTTTTGAGCAGTTTGAAGCCTCGCCCTTTTGGCTCGCTCCTGTTAGTTTTTCATCATCATCATCATCCGGTGCTTTGCCAACTGGCGTGAGCGATCATGGACCTTCACTTCACTCTGTCTTGCGTTGCAGCGATGGTGTCTGTCGTTCTTGCTGTTCCCAGCCATGTTGTCAACTTGTCCAGTATCCTTTCCCTCTGTCTGCCTCTGCCTCTCGTTCCATCAAACTTGCCTGTTGTTACAATATTCTCCAATGCTTCTTTCCGCATTGTGTGTCCGAAGAACTTTGCCTGTCGCTGTCGTACTTTCGTCACTAGCTGTCGTCTGCAATCTGCTTCAACCAAGACTTCTTAATAAATGTTTTTCTAGCTGTCCATGGGATACGCAGCATGCGTCTTATGAACCACAACTCTGTCAGTTACGGACTTTAAATTCGGAGGTTCCACTTTTTTTTTTTTTTTTTAGATAAATAGATACAAGTGTTGACAGGGATGTTAAACCTAGGCATACTTACAAAGTAAATTGTACCAGGTTTGTATCTTCCTATCTGTATATCGATCAGCTGGTCTCTAGCATGTACTGTTAATGTCACTAGAACTATGTATTCATTTACTAATGTATCTATCTATCCCGAAAATGCTGTTTTGAGAAAATCGAAGGGAAAGTTTTTGGATTTTTGTTCAGTTTCATTTAAAGACAAGGAGAATTTTCTCTATAACCAAACAAATATACACACAAATGAAACCAAACTTCTCCTATAGGTAGGGCAATGCCTACTTTTGGTGTAAGTCAAGATTTCTGGAAAGCCCCGAAATCTGGGTTAGCCTGCTTGTCCTTAAAAGCGACCATGTGTACCTTCCTATCTCTAACGTCTTGTTTCCCCCTGTGTCCCCCTGTGTCCCCCTGTGTCCACCCTCCCCCCTTCCCCCCTCCTCCTCCCCCCCCCCCCCAGGTAAATGGCAACCCTCCACGGCACCTACACATCGGCAGGCCGGCCCCGTCTCGTATGAGGGCGCGCAAGATCGACAAAATCTCTCGCATCGTCTTCCCGGGCTGTTTTGTCATCTTCAATATGGTCTATTGGCCGGTGTACATCTACACTTGATGGGTGAGGGCCGGTGATGAACTTCCGAGTGGTTGACTTCCGGACTCGTCATCGTGAGTTTGTCGGTGGTCTAGTGGTTGACTACCGGACTCGTCATCGTGAGTTTGTCGGTGGTCTAGTGGTTGACTACCGGACTCGTCATCGTGAGGTTGTGGGTTCGGGGGTTCGAGCCGCGGGTCCGACGTTGTGTCCTTGGGAAAGGCACTTTACTCGAATTTTCCTAACTTCACCCAGGTGAGAATGGGTACCCGGCCATAGATTGAAAGATCTTGTCTGTATTTTAGTGTTTTGGTGTCTATAAAGGGCTGCTTGCACTGTATGCTTCCCAGGAAGTTGAGGATGTTTCAGAATGCTCTCAGGTCTGCTGGGGTAATAGTACAGATTGTGAAGCGCGTAGAGCTTGCTGTTGAGCTGGGATTTGCGCTATGCAAATGCTATCTATTATCGATCATTGTTCCTTTCTCTCCGCCTTTTTGTCACGCAACACATTCCCTCCCCTTGGAGATCGGTGGACTGTCGTCTGGAGAGATCGGTGGACTGTCGTCTGGAGAGATCGGTGGACTGTCGTCTGGAGAGATCGGTGGACTGTCGTCTGGAGAGGTCGGTGGACTGTCGTCTGGAAGCAGGAGAAATGGCGGCTTGCTGTACACCCGGTTTGTGGGACGACGTGTTTAATAGTTTTGGTTCTGGACAGAGTTTTACGGCGCTCTCAACTGTAAGAGGAAACGGTTTGTTGTGGGAAGAGGCGTTTTGATAACTTTGGTCTGGAAAGAGTTTTACGGCGTTCTTAACTGCTTGAGGTCAATGTTAGGAGTACTAGAGATGGTGAGGTCATGCCGACTGCTTAGATAGTATGGTGGTGGTGATTTGGTTGTTTGATTTGAAGATTGAGATTTTTGGAGTGGGATATACAGGGCGCGCATGGGACGAGTGGTTGGATGTCCTGTTGTCATGGCAACACCGAGACTGATGTCAGCGAATTCTTCAAAGCTGGAGGATGCGATCACGTGAGGGGAGACACCCACTGTCTGTAGTGAACCCCCCCCTCCCCCCTCCCCC